AAAAACACTTCCCTGACATCATAACTTAACTATGGGAGCTTGATAAAAGTAGTAAACCAGTCTGACTCTCACTTATTAGCTATAGATTGTGGTCCATATCAGCAAGTAAGGTTTTCTAAGTGACAATCAGGATGACAATGCAGGATCAAGTAATTAAAGAACCAGTCACACAGCTTGGAGACCACTGGCAACCGCTGGTCATGAGGGAAAAATTTAATTCCCCAAACAGCTGGCAAGTGGTTACTGGAAGTTGATGGCATTTGCAGGGAAATCAAGTGCTAAAGCCCCACACACACACACACACACACACACACACACACACACACACACACACACACACACACACACACACACACACCCGTGGCAAGTTGATAGGGAAAAATGTATATTACTCCACCTGTTGGCAAAAACCTCTTTGTGGTTGTTTTTCTAGCAGTCATTCACTCTCACAAGCTACTCGCTCCGCGGTACGGAAAGTGCAACATAAACTGGAAACTGAGGCTGGATATTGTTTCAAATAGGGCATGATAAGTTGTGCACTTACCAGAGAACTGGGACTCTGATGTTACCTGCGTTCTTTACACACTGTTGCTCAACAGACATCGCTTTGCCTGTGACTGCTGGTCCCTTGCGGATGTTCCAGGCTCCTGTTGCCTAGGTAAACCTCATATATTTCAATCAGTACTATTCTTCACTCTCATTGGTGGTCGCTTCAGTCACTCACCTGGAAGCTGAGAAAAGTTTATCTTTGGTTCCACCCACTTCCCTTCACTGGCAGTTATTTCGCCCAATTCACTTGAACTTACACAATATCTTTCACTTTCCATGGTGTCTAGTTCCCACATCACTTGCAACGTGTATGCAGTTTTTCTAACCTGTCAGGTCTCTTACTGCATACCACTACATTTTCTTTCATTATATCGCAATTTATCCCACATAAATATCCAAATAATACCACAGTATGTGTCAAACCTTTTTTCTTGTAAGCGCACTATTTGGGGCTTTTCACACAGCTGTACCTTTCAGTGTGAACTCACTTATACTCAAAATAGCAGTGGTCAGTATAAAAGTGCACCGTTTGAGACACAGTATGTGTTATGTGTCTAATTTGTCCATTCATTCTCAGCTAAATACCTGCTTCACGCGATCCACCATGTTTCTGCAAAACAGCCTGAACCATGTAGCTGTATCGTAAAACCTAATCTTCACAGATAAAAGTGATTTGATCAGATATGACTGTATGATACTCCTGACAGTAAAAGCTGGTCAGTGGGCACTGAGTTTAAAAAGGTTTTCTCAAAGTTTACAGAGGTAGGGCTATAGATTTGAAATGCACACGTTTTTTTACAATTTGTCTTTTTACAGGTGCATACATATTTATATATGTATTTATGCACAGACTCCAACTGTATATACACACACAATAGCACTCTTGTAAGATATTAATGATGTTGTGAAAATAGTGTAGCAGTAGTCGGGGGCACAGTTTGCCACCAGAGCAAATGGGAAAGTTCTGTTTCCGAGCAAAGCCCTCATAAAACATTCATGTGACTTTTGCCATGAATTGGTTATCCGGACTGGGGAGGGAAGAGTGACAACGCACCGTCACCCGATAAAGTCTCCCATCTCTGTACTTCTCACCTCACACACTCATCACGGTTCCTTTTAAAATACTTCCAGTTTTAGATTCTCTCCCATGCATAAAGGAGCAGGAGCCATTTTAGTCACTGCAGCTGTCCAGCAAAATTTACTACAACCTTGGAGAAGTAATGCCCACTTATCTCTCTCGTACACAAATGTAGTTGATTTAAAGGAATGCCTACTTGCTATTCAATATTAATGGTCAGATAAAAAGGCAGGAAAGGATTTTTGAATGTGGAGGAGACTTGGAAGGAGTCATTTCTGAAATATGCATGAGTGCACATATGCACTGCTGGCTGTTTTGATGTGCAGTGCTTCTCTATGCAAAAATAAGGGAGGGGTACGTCAACATTAGTAAAAGTAGTGTCAAAACTGGCTCAATAAAGGCAACAAGTAGGGAGTTGATGCAAGAGATTTACTTAAAGAAACTTACTAACATTCATTAAGTCTTTAATAAAGCTTTACCAACACAAGCAACAGGGGACTGAGTCAGCAAGATAAGCAGTTTTAGCTGATGATCTTGGGCCACTCTGTATAAAATCATTGTCCTGCCTCTATCGTGAAAGAATAAAAGTGGTCATAGCAAATATTAACTTTCAACCTTGTTACAATTGTACAAACTCTGTTTTTGCCTTATGTAGGATATTCCAATGTATTTTTCCACATTTCAGTACATGTCTGCACCTATTTCCAATTTTCCCTGTAAAACATATAGCAAAATTAGCTGTGGTTCAAAGCCATGGTTCAAGATGTAAAATTGAAACTATATTTTTATTTTACGGATGGATAGGTGCATAATTTGTGCTTATACTTAGTGTTATGCTTTCATCTGTCTACATCAGTGAACTCCACTGATATGCAGCTCGTACCAGCATGAAGATCTATTTTATGACTTAAAAGCTTGCAGCATTACTGCGGCATTGTTTTTAACACAGTCATTAATGTGTTCATTCTCATACAGTTACACTCTGCTCAGTGCTGTGAGTGCTTTTCTAAGCTGACGTTTTTCATGCTGCATCTAGAACACCTTTAACCGCTTAGTTTTCTTTTTGTTTAATGTATCACTGGAGAAAATAAATGCATTCATGGACAGGCCAGTGAATCATCAGCTAAATTTAACAGATATGAAGTGGATGCAAGTAACTAAAATGTTGTTTTTTTTTGTTTAGTTTTTTTTGGTCCACAGCTCCACATTGCATCAGACACCGCAACAGAGGGCCTTCTCATCCGTGAACGCATGATTCATGTGGTCAGTTGAGTGTATCTGCACTAGAATTATAATGCATATTAATATAAAAAGGTCCAGTGATAGAGGAGACACAGCAGACCAATAATGTTTTTTTTTTCTTCCTTAGAGTATTAATGGGATCTTATATAAATATTGCAGGTACTTTTAGAGCTAATGTACCTGGAGTAGTGACCTTTAATGAGCAAATGTATATTTAATGCTATATTTACTCACTGACATGAGTGTAGTTTAGAAGACGGTGGGGATCGACCCCCTGACAGACGTCTTCATGAAACCCAGCCTCACAGTGAAGTAGAGTCCGACCTGCGACTGTTAAATGCCTCATTTTGTTGCAGTGAAGAAAGGAGAAGAATACATCTGAGCTGTAGGAATGTGAAAAAGACGTTTGCATGTAATCCAAATCTTTATCCACTGTCATCTATGACAACACTGCCACTCACATGGTTATGTGGAAATGTGTGTTTGCAAATTGTGTGTGTGGATAGGATAATACTTAAGATGTGGTAGCCAACTCTGTTCAGGATGTTGCTGGGACACCAAAAGGCTTTTCACACTGTCGGAATGTAAACGCGTCTCTATCTCTGGATGTCTCTGACATGTCTGATGTGTTCCCTTACACATACACTCACGTTTAACTGTGAACTCTATATTTTCTCAATAACCTTATTCTTTGTGTTGAGTTTAAGGAATGCACAAAGGAGTTGTTCAATGTGTTGCCGAGCTGAGTCTAAACAGGAAATGAATCTAGGTTCCTGATAATGCTTTGTATCCATAAAGGTCACAGATATAAGGATGCACACCGTATAATGTCAATTGTCACAGTTTCCATGCCAGCGCTATGGAATTATACTTCACGATTGATAGGCAGTGCCTTGGAGAATAAGGATATATGGGATACAAGAGTGAATGCAAATGCACATTGGTGTTTGGAGAGCGCTGACATGATTGTAATATTTGTATCTGACATGCATCAGAAATAGGATTCTGTGCCTGCCGACACTGATTTCAAACATGAGGAGGAAGATCATGTCAAGGAGGCGTGTGTCACTCGTCTCTCCTTCAGTTTGCAGCTTGGCAGGCGTCACAATGTTTTGCACATTGAATTTCCTGTGTTTAAATCTGACACGCAGGTTTTGTTTTCGTTTTCCCTTTACCAAACTGAATATGATAATGTCACTTGGGAATTGCTAGATGAAAAGATTTCCATGGTGCCGTCAGCTTTTTTGCTGAGGAGATGAATTGAACAGTAGACGCGGGGTTTGAAACCAATACAGCATGCATTATAATGAAATCATCTTCTTTTTTCTCTTCAGAGAAGCTATGCTTTGAAAATGGAGTTTGCAAACCAAATTGGATTAGAAATGGTGGATATTTTGTTAGGTATCTCTCCAATTTCACAGTGTGTGTTTGCTTGTAGTGTGCGTGAACCTGCTTCAGTACCGTAGGATTCTTCCATGTGTAGCTATCAATATTAATGCCGGTTCAAAGCGTTGGGCTTTCAAACAGACACAGGTTTCTGCTTTATCTTTTAAGTTCTCTGTTTGACCCTGCTGCACCATCAAAAGATCAAATTTCAGATGTTGTTTACGTAAACCAGTTGCAGATGTCCTGTCATCGTCAACTCTTACACCTTGGGTTGAAGATGCTTTTACAATTTCACAACCCTGCTCCAGAAATGACACGTCTTGGGGAGCAAATATCATATTTTGCTCAGTTAGTTGCTCAGATCAGGTATTTCAGGCAGCTGTGACTTGATGCAGGCTTTCACTGCCTTTTTGAACAATGTGTGTTTGACTGAACAGGTACACGCACACACACACACACACTTAGCTTTATAGCGCATTCACTTGAGATGCATAACAGTGATTTACAGCTCAAGTGTGGACGTTGAGCAAAGTAAAAGTGCAGGGAAAAAAATTTTAAAAAATCTATAAAATCCTGTCTTTGGGATTAGATCTCAAAAAACACATCAATATAACAACCAAAGCCAAATCCCACTGTGAATATCTCAGGGTTTGTTCCAGCACCATGCTGCAGAATCAACACGTGAAGTGTATAAATATAAATATAAATGGGATTCTTATCAAATTATTTCTTTTTTCAATTGCAGCTTTGAAAAAGGGACGATTCTGGATCACTCCAGATCCCTACCACAACGATGACCACATCCAGATTGGACGGGAAGTAAAGATATCCTGTCAGGTACGGTAACAGAAAACACCGGGAGACTAAGCACACATGGTTATGCGTATAATACTGAGCTAATGTTAGTGAGTGTAATAAAAATAAAGCCTTTTAATGTCACAGGTGGAGGCAACACCTCCAGAGGAGCTGACATTTAGCTGGCTGAAGAATGGCCGTGCCCTGCGGAGCTCAGAGCGTATGGTCATCACCCAGACAGATCCTGACATCTCACCTGGAACCACCAACCTGGACATCATAGACCTGAAATTCACTGATTTCGGCACGTACACCTGTGTGGCTGCTCTGAAGGGAGGAGGCATCCCGGAGATCAGCATCGATGTCAACATCTCATCCACAACTGGTGAGCCTCACACCCCTTTGTGGCATCGACACACCTACACACCTCCCCCCAACAGATTTGACACAAACACATTGATTTCTCACAGCTACGTTAGTCAAACTCCGTTGGCTTCAATTTTTTAACTGTCTCATTAGTCCCATCAGTTTTGTAGATCATTTTAATATATTTATTTCCTGATGGTCAAAAAATAAAGCGCTGTAATGTCACAGCGTTACATAATCCTCCATTGCATTGTTAAACCATATATGCTCACAAGCATGTTACATTTCGTGGGTCAAAACTGGCATGAAAATGAGTATTCAGTATCTGACGAGCATGGACAGCTGATGGATACTTATCTAGCGATTATTAATATCTGCAATAATATGTTAATTCAGCATGGAAAATGTTTGGAATCAGAGCAAGTGTTGTTGGGGCTCAAGTTGGATAGAAATGGTGGCAGTCCAATGAAAGTGGATCAGCAGGCAGTATTACGGCGCTTAGAGAGGAAACGTCAGCTTTACCTATGAGGTTTTTTTGTTACATAGGTGGTTTACCTCTTACCAGCATACAACACCAGCTTATCCTGGACACTTAACCTTCCCCAGAGCTAGTTTGTTTGAGATAAGAGATGAACTCATACAAATTCACTTTCTGCTATCAGGTCCGTTCTCAGGAAAGTAGTATCCCAAATCCTGGACTTCAGTAATAAGAGTGTCTATAGTTTTCCGAGAGTTTTACTAACTTATTTTAATAACAAGTCTTACTGGCCAAAAATGCTTCAAATGCGTAGCTATTTTCAAACAGTGCTTTTGAGGCAACTTTTGTTATGAGTAAATAAACTTCAATACAATACTGCTATATAGAGTTTTTCTTTGGCTGCAATATTTTTCTAATATTTTTGTTTCATCATCTTCTTAAAATATGACACAGTGTGATTGCTGCCAGTAAGCTTGACCTTTCAAGTGACCACTCCCAGCGTAGCTAGATTGGGAAATCTTAAGTTGTCTCATTGAGTTAATTACCATCTTCGTGCGAACACAGAGCTTACTTGCTGATTTTAGGGTAAGTGAAGTGAAATTAAATATTCTGGATATGTTGGACTTGTGTGATATAGTTGCCAAGTTACAAGAAAAAAAAAAGGATTTCTTTTGAAGGGTGCTTTCACCCGAATTCATGTGTTCCCATATATTTTTAATGCTGTCTGGTGAGGCTATTACATATCCGCCACAATGTGATGCCCTGTCACGGTGGAGAGGAATAGAGCATTGCTTATGGTGTTGACAACATGGTGCAATCATCATATTTTTCCTGTCTCAGAGAATGGTTGACAATAAATGCGTATTTGCAGTGAGGTTTGGGGATTTGTTGTATCAAGTTCACAAGTTTCAAGTCGTGTGGCGCTTGCATGTTCTCCCCGTGTTAATTCTGGGTATTTCAGCTTCTTCCCACAAATCAAAGACATGCATGAGAGGTCGATTTTCAACTCTTAATTGGTCATAGATGTGAATTATCTCTTTGTTAACCCTAAAATAGACTGGTGCAATGGCTTTACTTCAGCTAAAGCTAAAGGGAAAAATCCATAAGGGTGTGAGCGGTTATGTAGCAAACTATCAATGTCGAGTCACTATGGAATTTGAGTCTTCAGTGCCCATGTGACCCTGAACTTGATAGGCTTAAGAAAAATGGATGGATGCTCTCAAAGAACTCTTTATCTGCAGATTCTGTGTGTGTGTGTGTGTGTGTGTGTGTGTGTGTGTGTGTGTGTGTGTGTGTGTGTGTGTGTGTGTGTGTTGTGTTTAAGAATGTTTGAATGTCTTATATCTACAGGCTGTTTCTACATCTACACGCTTGCTGTGTAATAGTCATAAATATGTCTCTTTGACTTCTGTTCCTGCACACATTATTACAGTAGCAACAGCTCTCTATCGCAATAAGTGTTCAATTGAACTTTGTGAATCAAAACTGCCTCCATTGCTCCAGCTAATCAGACACTAAGTGTCCGTTACCCTTCCATCTGTCTGGCTGCTTTCAGGACTGTTCCAATTAACATGCACTCACCAGCCACTCCATCAGTTTCACCTTGCTAGTGCTGGATTAGCCCCCTTTTTGTCTTCAGAACTGTTGTAATTCCTCACAGCATAGATTCAAAAAGTTGGTGGAAGCATTCCCCAGGAATGTGGGTTCATATTAATGGAGCAGCATCACATCTGAGGTTTGTGATGTGATGCTTCATCGTCCTGGAATCAGCCATCAGAAGATCCATCAGAATATGGGTAAAATATTGGGATAAATATTGTCAACAGCCATATTCAGCTAGTCTGTGGCTTTTAAATGATGCCCAGAGAGTACTAAGTAGCCCAGAGTGTGCCAGAAAAATCCCCCACACCATTATACCACTAGCAGCTGGAATTGTTAATGCTGGCTTCATGCTTTCATGCTTTGTTGTTACTATTAGAATGTCAAAGCGGAAATCGAGACTCATCAGACAAGGGAACATTTTTCCAATCTTCTATTGTCCAATTTTGTTAGCGCGTGCGAATTGTAGCCTCAGTTTCCCGTTCCTTTTTTTTGGATCATTCTCTTTAAACCCCAGAGATGCTTTTGTGAGAAAATCCTAGTAGATCAGCAATTTCTTTAATACTCAAACAGCCCGTTTATCACCAACACCCATGCTATGTTCAAAGTCGCTTCAGTCACCTTTATTCCCCATTCTGATGCTCAGTTCAAACTTCAGCAGGTCGTCTTGACCACGTCTGCATGCCTGAATGCATTGAGTTGCTGCCATGTGACTGGGTGATTATGCATCCGTGGTAATGTGCACTTGAACAGGTTCAAGTGGCTGGCATTAATAGCCTATTAATAACAACATACCAGTCCACCTTGTCTAACGAGCTGATACAGTTTAGTATGGGTCGTATTGAGTCTGACTCAAAGAAAACCAGTCATGTACTGTGTCCTTCTTGTCCTTCTGATTCTGTGACATTCTATTGTTTGTCAGTTGTTTCAAAAGAAAGTAAAAACTATGTGTAAGCTTTGATAACAGTATTCAGTCTTGAGCACAATAGTCAAAAAAGAAACTGACTCTATTTTCTATCCACTGTTTTAGATTTTAACATCAATCAAAATCCAAAAAGAAAAAAAAAAGCTACTGTTTCACGGACAACAGAACAGAGACCGATTTATTAAAAGATTGCTACGAAGCACATTTAGTAAAGCTAACAATACCTTTTGTGCTTTCTCCCTGGAGGTTTTGCAGTAATAGCCAAATGCAGTGGTTAGACAGAAAAAGCAATTATACATTCATGCATGTGATATCACAGGAATGCTCGTCTTTATCTGTGCTATCTGTGTTGTATATGTGAGGTCAGTGAATAAGCTGCAAAGGTGTGTTGTTCAGCAATTAACTCCACTGGGAGAAATCACCCCTTATATCCACACCCCGCAGACAGCAAGAGGGAGTTTCCTGGTTGTCCTCGGCTCATCCCAAACTTCCAGATTCCGTTCGAGGGGTGGGGTGGGAGGGTGGGTGGAGGGGAATCCCATGAGTTGGTGTTGCTGCTGGCATTGTAGATATCTCTTCTTTTCTTGCTTTGAATTTCCTGGCATGTGTTCTGTGCTGATAAGTGACTGTTGGGTTGTGCGATGTTTTGATGATCGGGTTGCCAGCAAGCTTTACGTCCCCTTTTTACACACATATGCCTACACGGTGATAGCCACATTTACACCCTCACGCAGCCTTACCCATTTTCACTGTACTATTTTTCTATCACACACACCTGGCTGCCACTCTCAGCATGAACATGAAAGCAATGTGTCGACCTTGTGTGCATAATTATTGTCAGATAATCCTTTGATAATCCCTGTGCTATAAAACAGTGGGATCAATCGCATCTGCCAAGATTGTTTCCTCATTATCTTTTAAGTAGCACATTCTCTTCTTTCGGAGTGCCTGGGCAATGCCAGTGCATTAACACAGATCCTTTAATGTGCAAAAAAAACTAAATAAATAAATAAGTAGAACACCGCCGTCTGACTGAGGAAATAACCACGGAAATGACTGGCTCTTTTGTGATCATATGAAATGAAAGCTTTCCTTAAGGCTTAGATTTGATTGCTTCTTAAGCTTTCATTGTTCCGGTCGAATGTGTGGATATGAAATAGTATGAAAGAGTTGCGTTGTAGTAGCTGTTCCTGTCACAGGAAATAACATACTGAATTTTGTTTCTGCCGGTTAAAATTCCTGCTGCTTTACCTGGATGTGACTGGGCTGTTTGCTAAAGGATGCCGTGTTTCTTTCAGCGAGATTGATGCCACGAATCAGAGAAATGTCTCAGCTGAGCGCCATTGTATAGCTGCCGTGTACTAAAGCGCCTTGTGCCTCCGCCTCGCCTTGCGCCTGCAGCCTGTTGTGGGGTGAATAAGCCCTTTTTCTGTGCCTCTGCCTGTTTTCCTGGAGGGAGAAAGCCTGAGCTGCAATTAGAAGTCTTAATAAAAGTGTTTAGAGGAGATTACCACAGGTTTGCCAAGGTTTCGTACAGGGGAAGTGATTGGAAAGCATTTGAGCTTTAAAGTATCTCTTCTCTGAACAATGTCACACTTGCTGGCTGTTCCAGTACTGCTTCTAGTTCCAGATTCGAAACCAGCGCTTAGCGAGAGACCACTCCACAGGATGCATTGATTAAAGTGAAAACTATTGTTTTTCCATTCTTTCAACCTTCGACGAGCACAAATTTCTCGATTTTCTCCCTTTTTGCAAAACGGCAGTAATAAGCAGTTTACCATCTTCACACACTCGTTAAATAAGCAGATTCTTTCCTCGCCGGAGCTGCCGGAGATTGCGGTGCTAATGCTTATTTATGAGTGTCTGAAAACGAGGACACAGACTTCCCCTTTGGATACTGTCAAGATTAAGAACCACGGGACAAGGGAACAGCTGAAAAGAGTTACGAGCATTAGTGTAAAACATGCCATAAACTTCTAACAGGAACAAGCAAATGAATCCTTTCATTAACTTGTGT